TATCATCTTCAGGCATAATAATTGTGGTTGGATAAATAAACAAATTAAATCGAGCTTATATAATTGTCTCTATTATCTTGTGGGTTTTTGTAAATTCGGGCTTCTTAATGTGGCTTGATTTTGTCAATTTTAGAATGAATGGCGTGCGATTGGGGTTCAGCAGAGTCGTGGGTGGGTCCATTATGCAGTTCACCGTCCTGAGCCACACATCATGCTCTTCAGGAGGCCACTGAACTATCAGCAGCAACAGGAGAATCAAGCTCCGCAAATTCTTGCCAAGTGAATAATCCTTCCTCTGGTTTTCCTGTTGATGAAATTCTCATTTATGCTAGAAATGAACTAACTATATAAGATTTTACGATATTATGATATTCATGTTCTAAGTGTTCGGAGATACCTAGTCCAGGATCAAGTGCTGAAAATCTATTTCAATGATTTCGATTCCAATCTATGGTAATTCAAATTTACTATTTGTACTTCAGATACTTTCTTGAATGTTCCAATTAATTCTTTAGTGTCAAAGGATTATGACAGATTTTATTGCTTTATTTTTTATATACATATATCTTATGTCGCTTGGTTGCTGATGCTCAGTTATCGAATGTTTTGGGCCGAAAATGTTTTTACAATTAATTTTCAATTATGCTACACTTACCGAAAATGGTTGACATGCAACCTGACCGACACTCACAATGGGGGAGGGCCCACTTTTTTGTTTTTGGAATTTTTTATTCACGCGAGGCCTACACGCATGTGAAAGGATCTCAACGCCTCTGTCACTCATTTTCTGTACAAATGGAGAAACACATTAATTTTACTGACGCCCTGTTTGATTCAACAAAAATCCCATGGAAAATGGAAAAGAAATTCCATCTCCACCCAAATGGCATGTTTGATTGGAATTCATTTCTTGACAATTAATTTTCCACCCAAAGCCCCACACGTGCCACTTTCTTGGTTTTGGTGGAATTCATTTTCCCATGGTTTTGGTGAGAATTGGTTTTCTAGGTTTTTTTTTATAATGGAAACAAATTATATCCTCAATTGTAAAAATTTTTTTTTCCCTTTAATGGACAATTTTCATAAAAAATAAAGTCAAACGAATACCAAAAGATCCAAAATTTAAATATTTTCCACGTAGAAAATTATACCAATGAACATGTTTGGTACAGATTCTCATTTTTTACAGTAAATCAATTCTCATTTTC